CTGCGTCTGTCGGGGATGGGGATTGATGCGTGTCTGTGTCTCTGTGTCTGTGGGGGGGCAGGGGGTAGAGGGGTGTGTTTGTCTTTGGGACTGGGATTGGAATGTCTAATGAGTGTCTCTTTGGGGTGTTTTTGGGGGGTTGAGGGACTGAGGGGGGGGGTTGTCTATGAAAGGTCTGTAAGTGGGCGGGGGTGGGGAATGGAGGGATAGGAACGGGGAGGGTGAAGGCCGGAAGGGAGGAGGTAAGGTAAGGGGGGGGGGATGAGATAAGCTTCACTAGTATCTGCCAGAATGTGGACGCCTTCAACGGACACACTCAATCGGCTAACTTGTGAGGGGGAGTTGGTGGGGGTGGGAAGCAGGGGGGTGAGCCAGGAGGAGTGGAGGTCGTGGGCGGGGGGAGAAGGAAGAGCAAGAGTGGGGGAAGGAGAGACTGGAGGACGAGAGAGAGGAGAGAGAGAGAGAGAGAGAGAGAGAGAGAGAGAGAGAGAGAGAGAGAAGAGAGAGAGAGAGAGAGAGAGAGAGAGAGAGAGAGAGAGAGAGAGAAGAGGGGGGGGGGGGGAGGCGGAGTCATCCCCCTGGCCCCCCGAGGGAGAGACCAGGCAGCGGAATGCATGTACCGGGAAGTGTCCAGAAGGGAAAACTGAGGATGTGGCACTGGCGGGCGTTGCGTGTATGTCGGCGCGCACGCTTGTGCATGTGTTTTGTGGGTGTGTGAAAGAGAGAGAGAGAGAGAGAAGAGAGAGAGAGAGAGAGAGAGAAGAGAGAGAGAGAGAGAGAGAGAGAGAGAGAGAGAGAGAGAGAGAGAGAGAGAGAGTGAGAGAGAGAGAGAGAGAGGGACTTACATATGCGTCCGTCGCGCCTGCGTGAAGGCAAGGCCGCAAATGAGTGCATATCTGCGGCTAAAGTGTAAAAAGCTATATCTTATAATGGGATAATAAGTGAGAAAAAATGTCATTGATTTTATAATTCCGATACCATGTTAGATGCTGCAACAAGCAATACACGGTCTTCAATTAACCCATGAAAATGATGGTCCATTGTACAGCACTTCCGCCTACCGCCAGGAGAGAGAGAAACGACCGAACATCAACTAGGGAAATAGGAGAGAAAACAAACACACACACATATGAGTATGTGTATGTGTGTTTTGAGGGAGGGGCAGGAGAGAGANATCCTATCTAAGTACGATTTCCGTATCTGACTGAGACTACGATTTATACGACACCTATATTTGTAGTGTAAGTTTTGATCCATGAAAGAGACACCCCAGGTTGAGAAGACGTCCGTTCCAAGCGTAGTGTTCGTCAGTGTGGGTCCGCTTGTGTACACCACGAACCCCGGAGTGCTGGGCTTCATCTGAATCCTCTCACGAATGGCTTCCTTGCGCCGCATCAACCTTCGCATTCTATCTTTCTAATCGGCTTTGCGACGGCGCCTACACCAGCCGAGGGTTCAAGAAGAGTATAGGGCCACGTAGAACGTCCCAGGAGTGAGGGGCTTCCTCGATCACGGCGTTCAGCAGGAGAGTCACAAAGGTGTTCGGACGAGGACATACTTTGCGGGTCTCACGTAGCCGCCGGCGATCCAACTCTTTCTCAAAATAAGCGCAGAACACACATTGCAAGACATGCTCGTCGCGCGTCCGCTTCCTCTCATCTGGCTTGGTCTTCACCCCCCATTTCACAGTGACAACTTTCACCCCACGAATGGCTTTAATTCCTCTACTAACTTTCTCTACGCCTATCGCTCGTACTTGGACGATGAAATAACCTCCCCCTCCGCAAACACTCTCGTCCGCCCGAAATTCCAACCGGTGTGAAATGATAGCCAAGAAATAGGGGATCGGAACGGTGAGAGTTTAGTGGTAGCCAAGCGTGTCCCGGCATAATCTAGCTAGTCTTAGGCACCGAAGACGCAAGCCAGACAGTTCTGTCATACACACAACACACCATACACTATACAATATATATTACACTGCAGCCTCGTACCAATAAAGGCCGAAGCAAGACAGCGACAGCGAAAATAGAAAGAAAAAGAAGAAAAAGAGAGAGAGAGGTTCGAATCACGCGGCGCGGGCTCAACACAGCCCTGGTAGTCTAGCCTTGCAAGTGCAATGACCAATATCCAGTCAGTCTGCGGGTAAATATCCTCCACATACCATAATATTTCAGCGATATTACTCTTACAAGAGAATATATACACACACACTCACCAGGGCTGGCCATAGCTACACGCATTACACTGTTACACTAGATGCCGTGAACGGTGTAATTCTATACACAAACAAACATATAAGGTGTCGTGAGTTCTTCGCGGGCAAGAATTTCATGCCTTTTCCCTGGACTCTTTGAAAGGTATGGGCGGGGGGAGGGGGGAGGGCTCGTGTTATAGGAAAATAGTTCTCGTGCAATGTCGTATTTTTTCTTTCTTTCTTTTAATTTCCCCAAGGACTTTTTTTTCAGTTGCTACCTTCCGTTCATTTAGGGGTATAAATGCAGTCGTGTGTGCGATGACCCTTCCGAACAGGAATCGGACGCCTCGGTCGGCCATGGCGATGTATAAACAATAAGAAGAAACACGCACACCACACATGCAACGAACACGCTCTCATGCAGAGCGCAGAACAACATGCACACAGAATTAAGTAAAAATTTGCGCTCATCTAAAAGCC